TGATGATGACAAGCGGGCAACAAGCTGCGCCACTAATCCTTTCTGAATTGCAAAACCCAACCTACAAAGCAAGTACTCAGCGGACCCTGCTGTCGCTACATTCTTATTCATGAATTTCTGTACCCTCCTGAGAAACTCCACCGCATCAGTTACAAGGAAACCAAACGTATCGAAAGCGAACGGGATGAAGTTGTGGTGGTTGTCCTTGCAAGCTTGATCATGTTTGCCCACCTTTGCCTCTGCTTCTCTATCCGCTACATGTCCAACCTTGAACTCTCCATTACCAAACCCCACCAACGGAGATACCCCTGTGAGATCAACACAAGCGTGCTCCCCCCCACTCCAATTGTAGATAAGAACGTCTGTCGGCCTTATAGTAGATCTAGCCTCTCCAGGAGGAGTGAGGAAGTTGACCGGCGCTTCCTTCTTTGATGGGATCCCTGCTCTTTGAAGGATGTTATACAAGACATCTCTGACTAAGTCGTGCCTGTACTTGAACCCCGGCTGCTTCTGACAGTGGATGGCATGCTCTCCAAAAACATTGTCCCCTCCACGAACAAAGGAACCAACAACCTGTACCTGAGGATGGCCTGGTACTCCCCCGGAGTCATACGCTATCCCAATCCCTCAATAGGCGTGGCCAACAAGAAATCCTAGGGGTGCTTTGCCCGCAGGCACTCAACAATCGCAACCTGCCTCTCTGACAGGTCAAACTCCGTCGATAGATCTCTACAAACGCCACCATAAAAGATGTCTGCCAAGTAATGCATTGGTTTTTGGGGGACAGACGCTTTAGTGGTGATTTGAAGAAGGTCAACCTCAGGTAGCTTGGCTTGAAGAAAGGCCCGGGCGGAAGTAAAATGCCCACCTAAAGAAACCTCACCACAACCGAGCTCGATGTGGTGAATCCGAGAGGCCACAAAGGAAAACTGTATAGCATCTGCCGCTGCATAGACCCCCAACCCGCCCGCCTTGATAGGTAAAGAGGTCCAACGCTTTCATTAACTGAGTCGCCTTTGCCACCCTCTTCGCTGCTAACCCACCAACAAACCCCTCGTCCATGCTAACTGCTCCACCTAAAAGCCTTACTCCATCACGAGGACGACTGATATCCAAGGGAAAAAGCCCCTCCAGCAAACTCCTAGGATCCGGTGAGGGCCAGAATAATTCAGTTTTGGTGACATTGAGGTCCAACCCGAGCCTTGGGCCTTCGGTCTCGATCACCTTATATGCCTTAGTAATCTCCAAAGTATCCTCGACCAAGGACCCATCGTCCAAGTACCAAGCATGAAGAGCCAACTTGCACTCTTCCTGCACTCGAAGAATCAACGGGTGAAGCGTGAGCGCGAACAACAGAGGCCCTAGCGGATCCCCCTGCTGGATCCCCCGAGCTGACCAAATGAAATCCACCCCCAAATACAGTCTAGCAGGCTGCACATATAGAAATTCCACCCAAGGAGAGATCGCCGAACACTTAAGGCGCACTTCCCGCAACATACTACTCCTGTCGACCAAGTTAAATGCATTCCGGAAGTCGACCAAAAGCATGGAGAGCGAGTCCTCCGCATGGTGGACATCAACGAACCTATTAACCACATGCAAAATTGCTTCTGCCCCTCCTGAGACTCCCACCCCAAACTGAAAATCTCCCAAATAACTCGCCATGTCCTTCCCCACCTTCTTCATGGCCACTTTAGAGACGAGACGCCTCCAAATGGTACCTACCGCAATCGGCCTAATGCCTCCATCACTCTTCAACAACGGAGTGAGGGGAGCACTAGCAATAAACTCCGTCAAGGAGGCCGGACAACGCCCTTGCAACCACAAATTAACCACTAGGGTGAGAGCCGCTAGGAGGTCGTTAGCAATAGTGGACTCCGAACCACAAAGTGCATCTAACAAGTGCTGGGCTCGAAGGCCATCACAGCCACAAGAGGTCCCCTTAGGGATGGACCACATGCAATAGAGAACCTCCGTATAGTCCACTAAGAGCGGCTCTTGGCCATACCCAAAAGCTAGCAACACCGGAGGAGGCGCCGAAGGGTGTTTGTCCTCAAGGGACTGACGCGTCTGCGGAGTGTCCGGAGCAACCCCCGAGGACGTGAGTACCTTCACAACCGCTAAATAGTGCCCATCCGATATCTTCCTCAAATACTGTTTAACATTGTTAGTAGTTGGGCGAGCACCGGGGTCGTCAATTCGGGCAGAGGGGGGGGAGAAGGGAGCTCTCTAAACATAGTGTCAAGGAGTTTTTGGGGGCCTCCAACCTCACCCCAGGTGGACAATGCCTCTAAGATATGTCGTTGTTGAAGAGCCTTTCTGTTGTCTGACCTTGAACTCTTGTGATCATGGGTTTTAATAACCCTTAAAGTGCAACACGGCAAGATCAAAAGCCGTACACATGCGTCACAAGATCGTGGGTTAGAGGATACCCCAAAGAGCGAGGCTTTAAGGGCAGCCGAGAACGCCAACCTACAAGATGGGGGAACACTTTTAACCATTCAAAAACCCCAATTAAACACCCTTTCGACTGTACTACTGTCGAGTTTACAATGCTATGGACCTAAGGAGGGGATAGGTGACACAGACTCGAGGGTAGGAGAGGCACAAGGCCGAGTGATACCCACAATGGCACACCTCGCATTGCCCCCATTGTCCTCTGAAGTTGATGGAATAGACAGTCCCCTGTCATGCTAAATTAAATCAGTCGTGTAATCACTGCCCTAGAAGATTGCCCTAGAAGATTAAGAACCCGCCTATCGCCTGGCGCAAATGGTTCCCTCCCCCCTAACGGTAAAAGCCCGCAGAAACGGCCGGCCTCCGTACTTGGGCGAGAGTACAGAGCTTCAGCTCAGATGAAAAAGATTGCCCATAAAATTAATAACAAATTATAGAGGGAAAAACAATTTCTTTAAAAACCAAAGGGGAGGAGAAAACTTTAATTTTTTCTTTATTCTTGTATTCTGGAATGTGAATAAGGGGTGTGCATTTATAGGGTTGAGGGAGAGAGAATTCTTTTCTAATTTCCGATGTGGGACTAAAACACAAAGGCAAAATTACCTTTTCTTAATAAATATCGAACAGATTGTTGGGTTGAAACTAATCGCATCTTTGAGTCTAGCTCTCACCTCGTCTTAGTACAAAATCTTTCATTTCAATAATCATTTCATTGTAGTAAGGCGTCTATATTTATCAATTTAGAGTAGAGAATGTCAAAAATAATTTTTCCCCCTTTGAGCCAAGAATAGTTACTGATCTACACTGTAAAACCCCTTGATTATCAGAAGAGGCTGTCAATGGACATGCACGATTTCATTTTTAGAATGCTCCCATGTTGTTTGCTTAATTTATTGGTAAGTGTCTATCCTTGATCCTGGTCTTGCAGAATTCTCTCACTAGTTGTAATAGTATCAAATACTCCTACTCTCAACTAATTTTGTGCCTGGTCTTGCAGAATTCTCTCACTAGTTGTAATAGTATCAAATACTCCTACTCTCAACTAATTTTGTGCTGGTCACATGTTGTTAGGAGTTTTTGTTTTTGTTTTTTCCCCCCTCTGGTGACTGAATTTATTGCTAGAGAACAATATGCTAGTTTCTTGTTTAACAAAGTAAAGAGGCCCCTAATGTAGATAAATTGAGAGAAGTCATTCAAGTCCAAGTTCCAAGCAGATTGTGACGAAAGCTTCATTATTGTTGTAAACCTGAAGTTGATAATCTTCTTACAGAGTATCATTTACAGGACTTATCAAAACTTTGGAAGGCAAAACAAAAAGATACTAAAGCTGTTGGGGAAATCAATCGAGTTCTGTTTTTAATGTCTATACATTTTTTCTTTCTTGCAACCATGAACCTGACTTAAACTGCAAATAGTGCCGAAGGTAGAATTAATCCAGCAACCAATGTTTACCTTTCTGGATATTTACATTCAATTTTTTTGGCAACGTCCTGATACCCATCATACTCTAGAAAATGTTGGTCTTGATGTCTACATCTGACTACATATCATGCTTGGTTGCTCTTAATCAGTTAATCTTTTAAATTATTTCACCTAATTAATTTATGGGAAGGTTCACCTCAAGAACTGTAAACTGCTAAACTTGTACGAGTCTTTGGTTATGTGTCAAAACTTTGTATGACTATTTTTGCGACTAAGTTTTGAGCTTTTGCCTGGCTTGCTTGGTTTATTTTCGTTTCAAAATTACGTGATTCCCTATTAATTCCAGATTTGTCTTGATGCTGACATGTTTAAGTTGATTCAAATGGCAACAAAAGAATATGATTGTGATCAACCTGATGCTTCTACGATATTATACTTGAAGGATATCAGTTGAAGTAGCTGTTCATCCAAGTTAGTCTACAGATGTATAGTTCCATGGATAATTACCTTCCATTGAGGCTGCAGCTATCCATTGATCAAGACTAAAAGTTAGGTAGCGCGTTAAGAAAATTGGGGATTATGCCATTGCCATTAGCTACGTTTGTTGAAGAAATTTGGGCTATCTTTTGACACGGCCAAAAGTTAGAGGGGTTATGGGTGATATTATTAAACTTTAGGGCTCATCTCTAAAGGGGCCAAAGATGGGGGGTTATGTGAAATTTAACCATCTTTTGAGCGAAAATAATTGGAGACTTGGTGTCCAAGTTTGATGAATGAATGGCCGACTAATTTTTTCTATGACTTGTCCACATTCACGATGGGGATTTATTGCGGGGGCTAGTTTCTTATGGTATACAGAATTTCATGTGGTAGCATTTCAACCACAGGACGGTACCAAGAACGCGTCAAGAAGGTTATCAGCACTTTCCATTGACTTCACTTGCAGAATTTAAACAATTGTTCGGATCACTTTTTGCTTTATTCCGCCATTGTGGTCCCGTAGACTTATACCTTAATGTTCCTCCCACTTGTACCTCAATAATTGAGAGAGGGAGAATAGAAAAGTAGAAAAACCTACATAATGGAGTGCATTCATTTCTAAGTACCCAATCCTCATTAAACAAAGCAAACTAGAATTTTGGTTGTGAACTCTCTGAAATCTCCAATACTTGCACTACTCGCTTCTTTCTTGAGGAGATGGCCATGGTGCTGGATGCTTTAGCTGGAGCCACGGTCGGTAAGCTGGCTGAGGTTGTTGAGGAGAAGGTGGTAACTGTCCTGGGCGTGAAAGACGAGCTCAAGAGGCTGCAGCGGAGGATGGAGAGGATCAAGCATGTGCTTCATGATGCTGAGAGAAAGCGCATTCAATCAGAATCAGTTGCAGGGTGGGTGAGGGAGCTCAAAGATGTTATGTACGATGCCGATGACATAATCGACCGATGCAGGCACGAGGGTGGAAAATTGCTTGATGGCCAACCATCTACATCATCTGATCCATCAACGGTATGTTGTAGCCGTCCTCGCTTATTCTCTTGCTTTACTAGCATCCGTTTCCGGCATGAGATTGGTGATACGATTAAGAAATTAAATGAGAGATTGGAGGAGATATCTAGAGATATGCCACGCCTTAACCTAATGATAAGTGGGCTAGATACTCGAGTCACAACAGTGGACACTCGGCAGACCTCACCTATCATAGATAGGTCTGATATCGTGGGGAGGGGCATTGAACGTGCTACAGACGAACTGGTAGAGAGTATAGTTAAGGAAGATGAAAGAAAACTCCAAGTCTTTGCTATTGCCGGAATGGGCGGAATAGGAAAGACTACCCTGGCTAAAAATATCTTCAATCACCCAAGAGTAAAGTCTGAGTTCTCAACAAAGATATGGGTCTGCATACGAGTCACAACGGTGGACACTCGGCAGACCTCACCTATCATAGATAGGTCTGATATCGTGGGGAGGGGCATTGAACGTGCTACAGACGAACTGGTAGAGAGTATAGTTAAGGAAGATGAAAGAAAACTCCAAGTCTTTGCTATTGCCGGAATGGGCGGAATAGGAAAGACTACCCTGGCTAAAAATATCTTCAATCACCCAAGAGTAAAGTCTGAGTTCTCAACAAAGATATGGGTCTGCATATCACAAAATTTCTCAGAGACCTCTTTGCTCAAGGAGATAATAAAAGAAGCAGGAGGAGATCCCTGTAATTTGCAAACTAAAGCAGGACTCGAACCTCTACTGAAGGACGCAGTTTCAGGAAAGACTTTCATTTTGGTGTTAGATGATGTGTGGCGAGCAGATGTATGGACGCATTTACTACGCAATCCACTACAGAGCGCTGCTGTTGGCAGCCGAGTCCTAGTCACAACTAGACATGCGAATGTTGCTAGGCAGATGGGGGCGATGGATGCGCACATCCATCCCGTGGAAAAATTGCCGCCAGAATCTGGGTGGGAACTGCTCTGCAAGAGTTTATATGTCACCGGAGAGGAGGAGGAAATGAAGCGTCTGAGAGGTGTAGGGGCTCAAATTGTTGGAAAATGCGACGGTCTCCCTCTGGCAATTAAGAGCATTGCCGGTGTTTTAACAACAAAGGGGAGAAATCCGAGGGAGTGGGAAAAGGTTCTGAGAAAGGCTGCATGGTCTATGGGCAATCTACCTGAAGATTTGAGGGGGGCCTTGTACTTGAGTTATGAAGATCTACCCTCTAACCTGAAGCAATGTTTTCTTTATTGCTCTTTATTACCTGAGGATTATGTATTTAATCGTGCTGAGCTCGTGAGGCACTGGGCAGCTGAAGGATTTGCAGAAACGCAAGAGGATTCTTTCTCAGAACCAGCGGACGAGTGTTTTGAGGAGCTACTTAGAAGGCATCTTATCTATAAAGAAGAACGGCCTTATCAACGTTATAAGATGCACGATCTCTTGCGATCACTTGCTCAGTTTCTGTCGCGGGATGAAAGTTTTTGTGGAGAAGCACAGGAATTGACTACAGTGCCCGCCACGACGAAACTTCGACGTCTGTCACTTACCGGCGAAGGAGGAGTGTCAGACGAAGAAGGAGGACCAGCACTCACCCCTCAACCTTTACTTTCGCAGAGGAGCTTGAGAACCTTGTTGTTTCTAAGCAGCTCTTACAGTCTTGGGAGCGACGTGTTTTCTGGATTTCCACTTCTTCGGGTCCTGTCACTGAGTCAATCACGGATTGAGGATATTCCAGATGCTGTGGGAAATCTAATACACCTGAGGCTGTTGGATCTTAGCTTGACAAATATATCCAGCTTGCCGGAGTCAATCAGGAACCTTACAAATCTCCAGGTTCTAAATCTCGCTCACTGTAGGTCACTCCGCAGTCTCCCAGATTCTGTGGGAAATCTAATACACCTGAGGCTATTGATTCTTAGCCACACAGGAATATCCAGCTTGCCGGAGTCAATCAGGAACCTTACAGATCTCCAGGTTCTGGATCTCGCTTGCTGTTCTTCACTCCGCAGTCTCCCCAAAGGCATTACTCAACTGTGCAATTTAAGAGTTATTGAAGCATTGAGGGCTTCTAACCTGTCCTTTGTTCCATCTGGGATGGGAAGATTAGAGCGGTTAAATCACTTCAACGGCTTTGTTGTGGGAGGGGAGCAAGGCTGCAGCTTGGAAGATTTGAACCCTTTAGAGCAGCTGAGGGTGCTGGCCATGAGTAACCTAAAGGAGGCGGTGGTAGCGCAGGAGGGACGACGTGTGCTTCGGAATAAATGTCACCTCAAGAAATTAAGATTGGCATGCACTTATAAACTGTGGGCTGGTCCACCAGCTGCTGAGTACAGCGAAGGAGAGATCCGCAGAATTCAGGATGTGTTTGAGGAGCTGGCCCCACCGCCATGCCTGGAAGAATTAGACATCAACGATTACTTTGGTCTTCAGTTTCCAAGTTGGATGATGTCACCATCGCTGGGATCTCTTCTTCCCTGTCTCACAAGTTTGACCCTTTTTAGTTGCAGAAACGTCGTGCAGCTTCCTCCTCTCGGTCTATTGCCCGAATTGAGACGTCTTTCTATTGGGTATGCCGAAGCGGTTGTATCCTTTGGCTCGGAGGCTTATGGGAGCGGCTCTACACAGGCGCTCTTTCCAAAGCTTGAGTCTTTCTGCCTCCACGGAATGCCAAATTTGCAAGAGTGGTCATTTTGTAGAGAAGAGGAGATTACTGTGTTCCCAAATCTGGTGGAGCTGAATGTTTACTACTGCCCGGGATTGAAATCACTCCCTGGGGGCCTGAAGGGATCTCCCTTGAAGAAGTTGGACATCTACCACTGTCAAGGTCTGGAAAGGATCTCTCATCTTCCTGCACTAAGAGAGTTGAGCATCATCGGGGAATGCCCTCTATTGAAAAATGTGGAGAAACTGGATTCATTGGAGACGCTAGTTCTATATGAATGGGGGATGGATTTTCTCCCGGAGGGACTGCTGAGGCTGCTGCAAGACCGACAGCTACACCAGGATGATGATTTCACACTTGCATTGCATTCTCTAAGCGATGTTCTTTTCAGTAAGTGCGTTATGGGAGGCGAATACTGGCCGGTCATCCAAAACTTACCCAGAGTCGAAGCCGGTTGTGGAAATCTAAGATATCTAAGATACACCAAGGAACCCTATCACTACGAGACCAGTTAAAAGCGCTCTCTTTCTTGGTGTTTATTTCTTAGTAAACTCTTTTACCAGTGTTATTTGGATCATCCAAAGGATGTTGTATGTTCCTAGAATAAGTTGGGTAATACAAATGTCTGGGTTAGCCTTTTCCTTTGAGATTATGTCTTGACTAGGCATTTGCGAAGAGGAGGATTTTCTGTAGCTACTTTTATTCTCTTGATGATTTATAGAAAAGGTGATGTCTTGACTAATACTGTATAGCTATGTTTTATCAATTCTTATAGTGAATGTGATGCACGACTATTTACATTAAGTATTTTCTAATTTAGTATATTATATATCAGGAAATGACTTTTAGCTTTGACATCGTAGACAATTGTTTCTTTTGACAAAATGTAAATAAACTTGATGCATATAGAAGAGCTGCGTAGTTGGTATGAATCAACTACAAGTTCCCAGGATTTAATCGTGTAAGGGCCAGTATGAGGCGCACCATTTCCTGAAAGTCTCAAAGCCTGACCTCTGATTTTATGGCCATTAAACTCTAGAAAAATCAATTCACTAATTACTTTATTTACGTCACTTGTTATTTCTTTTCATATAAGCCTGCGTAGATGATTGGAACTTTGAGAAACTAGTTGAAGGTTTAAAATGAAAGTTTTAGATCAAAGAAGAATTGGAATAAATTTCATGTAGCACTGGTGGAGTCATCTTATTGGGTCTGTGTATTCAATCTTTTTGCTTGCATTTTTTTCCTGGCATGTGACAGTTTAGCTTTAACATGTTTAGTTTCAGACTATCTACCTGTCTATCCAAAAAAATTCATACAAACCCTTTGGTGAAAGCAACTGATTCTTGAGACATTGCACTTTGATTACTCATGCTCGTATTTCTTAAAGAAACAAGAGATCATGCATGACAATTTGTTCACACCACTATCTTGGAGAACTCTTCCATAAACCTAGTTTGAAAATGCTTCCATACATTACCCAAGGCATCAACTCAAAGATAGTTTAAATGTCGGTATATAGCATTTTAAGTGTATGATATTTCTAATTTGTTGTATCCTGCATATCGATCTAAAGCACTGTTAGTATGCAGAGATTGAGTTTATTGCACGTGTCTATACTTTTTACTTGCGGTTGAACTAATTCGCTTGTTCAGCATTCCGAGAGTTTCTTGCAGGTTGTGGAAACACCTTGACTAATTACCTGCTGCTCTTCGATCTTTTCCTCGTATCCAAAAGTTATTTAAACTAACTCTCTTACTACCTTAACGCTTATAGATCACTTAAATACACTTGTCTTTTGTGGACGATGGGATGATGACAATGGAGGGTTCAACATGCAGCGATCAAAACTGCAACACCGATTGCCTGAGCAAGGGGTTGGAAGGCGGAGCTTGCCATATCAACTTTGCTGATAAAAAATGCCCCTGCATAACATCAAAACCTGTTGAAGATCGAAGCACTGGTTCAGCATTCTTCTAGTGCTACTGTTTCGTTGGATTGTGCACTTTTTCAGCTTCGTTTCTCATCAATCAGAAAGAGGCATCTGGTACTATTTATCCGTTCAATTTATGTGTAAGTGAAGAGGAAATAGATGTAGGAAGTCATCTGTTAACGCATCTATAAGTTTTTTGTACTAGAATCTTACTGTCAGTATGACTGCCAAAGTATGCTTTTTGATTCGCGATCCATCCTCTCCATGAATGGGTACTTCAGTCTTCTTGTTTGAACTGAAATTTGGAAGGTGGCAGCTCTCTCATCCCTATATAACATCAGTTAGTTGATAAGGCATAAATCCCGGGTTGAACCCACAAGGGATTGATGAATTCTTTGGGGTTCTAGGCGATGAATTTGATGCCGTACTCTTGCCTTTGACCTTATCAAGTTCCTCACAATTGAAGTTGTCGGCCATACCTAGAAAATAGTTATAGAGAAATGCAAAAAATACACGTAAGTTGAGTAAAGAAAGTGTGTCCTAAGAGAAAATTTCGTACAGCACATAATAGTAGCATACAAATGTTTCTAAATTAACATTACATAGTTTTACACACGCCATCATAAAATGAAGCACATGAAAATAGAATAATTCATAACATAAGACAACATCACTATCACATTGCGTCACATGCCTATTTCATTAGTATTCCCTCCCTTACGTTTTTCGTAATAATCAACCCACATTTTCCAAGCTATTTGATCTCTACGATCCTTCCATACGTTTCTTGATTGTGTTTGCTCCCTTTGAGTTTGGGGTTGAGAAAAATCAATAATATTATTATCATCTTCATTAGCAACATCTCTTTCATCATCTTCGATGTCAACGGTCTCATTGAATATATCATCATCCGGGTCAACCATTGCAATATAATTGTGAAGAACTGTGCAAGCTAATACGATATTCACTTGCGCGCGAAAAGGGTAATGAGGCGTTGCGGTGAGAATTTTAAAACGATTCTTCAAACAACCAAATGCAGCTTTAATCTTAAACCTTAAAGAAGAATGTCTAAGATTGAATAATTCTCTTCTATTTTTAGGTGTTCTTCCTATTTGTTCCTTCAAATGGTAACGAACACCACGATACGGGGAGATGAAACCTGGCATGGTCGTGTATCCCGCATCACACAAGTAATACTTCCCTACAATTTGCATGACGTGAAAGTGTTTATTAGAATTTGTTAAAATTTTATTGAATATCATTTATTAATTGAAGTAATTACTTAAAATTGAAGATTTGATGAAACTACCGTCATATACTTTCAAACCATGAGGCTGGGGCTTAGTCAATGCATCTTGAAGGACTCTATAGTCATTTGCAGAACCTTCTCATCCTGCTAATATGTAAGTGAACAACTTGTTTGAAGTACAAGCCGCTACAACATTTTGTGTAACACCTTTTCGACTACCGAATCATGGTTGAAGACTAGCAGGTAGCATAGCTTCAACATGTGTCTCATCTATCATACCAATACAATCCTAGAGAATAAAAAATTACTATTGATTATTTTTTATTAAATTAAATAAACGTGTTTTTAATCACAAATTAAGGAGAGAATACCTTGAAATAAAGATAGTATAGAGGGTTGCTAAGGATCTCCTATGAAACTTCATTCCGTCTTGTCTCAACAAACGTGGCCATATGTGGCAAATTCCTTCTAACACTTTGTTGAAATACTTACTCACAGTCTCGCCAGATCTAATAAAATGTGACCTAATACTTCGATTTTTAGTTTTATGCCCCAATATATTCAAAGTCATAGCAAGTTGCTCCTCCACTGTGACATGTCTTGAGTCTCGCAATAAATCATTCCTCCTCATGATCTCTGCAAGCTTCATAAAAGCACCACTACGCAATATAACATAGTTCACACAACTATCACTAAATCCATTATATATCCGGTCCATGTGTTGTTTTTTATTTTTCTATTGTATTATTTTTTCCTCACTAGGACCTGCACGTATAGACTACGTCTACTTTGCATTCTCCTCATGAATGTCATAACCATAACTAAAACAGATAGTGCAGCACTCGAACATATATTAACTACAGTCTCTTCGTCAAAATCACCATCCATCTAAAATACAAGCGTCATATTAAAGTAGATACTAACATTAAAGGCAAATGATATCAATGAAGAGTTGAACATGTCAGGTTGCAATTAGTGTTGGATATCTTGACCCCAAGATATAATTTTAATGATAACAAATTATTTACTGTGTGTATTATATGAGCACTAATATCTGTAGTCGAATAATTCCTTTAGTAGTCGACTATAAAATCCTCAGTCAAATATCCAAAAACTACATATGTACAGTGTAGTCGACTAATAAGCATAGTAGTCGACTACTGAGCTTGTTTCTTGACTTCACAGAGTCTGAATAGACTCAGTGTAGTCGACTACTAAGCTTTGTAGTCGACTACTAAGACATTTATTTTAACTGCTTTGTAGTTGCACCTTATTTTCAGTTCTATGTTGATACAACAAAAGCTGAATTACTAACAAATTATATACATAACATATACATATATCCTGAGGCAAGTTTAGCTTAGACTTCATAAGCTCTCAAAATGTGAAAATTGAAGAAACCCATAAATAGGAAACGTTAAAATTGACCTTGGATCTCTTTGTGATGCTGAGACTTCAAGCTTAGACTTCAACCCGTAAAATAGGAAACGTTAACAACTAGCTTAGACTTCATAAGCTTAGACTTCAAGCTGAGTTACAGAGAGATCCATCATGCGAAACCCATAAGAAAAGGAAACGTTAAAATTGAACTTGAATCTCTTTGTGATGTTGCTACATGCGAAACCCATAAGAAATTTCCCATAAATTTGAAGAAAAGTCTTAAAATTTCACAAAAATCGCACATATAAATCCATAAAAAAAAACCCATCAATAATTCCCTAGAAAGTAAATTAGGGCATAGAGATCCATGAATCTATGATTATATACGAGAATGGGCCAAAATTGTGAAGAAAATTAGAGCATTTACATGTTCGTCGGCTTCGTCGGCTTTGTTCGTCTATGCGAAGCGGGAGGGGCAAGGGAATGAGGGAGGCGGGAGAGAGAGAGGGAGCGGTGACGGGATTGAGGAGGCAGGAACCCTAAACTTTCCCTCCTCTTCACTTTCCGCGAGTTTTCTGCAAAAACGGGGACTTAAGGGCGGAAAACAGATCGGCCCCAAATTTTCCTTTAAACGCCAGTTTTCTCCCTCTTTCCTTCTTTCGTTTTTGTGAACCAAACGTCAGAAGGTGAAGGAAAATATAAGAAATGGGCTGTCAGTTTTCCAAAACCCATTTTCTCCACTTTTTAGCCCAAACAAACAGCCCGTCGAAGGAAGCCTTGAAGACATTGACGTGACTCAGTCTTCTCTTATCTTGTTTTCTCTTGATTCCATGCCCATCAGTTACCTGGTTTAATAGAGTGATACCGTTAAAAAGGAAATGACAAAGAGTAGATATGTCATGAGGTTTTGAAATAGTACGACAAATGCAGATATTCAACATCATGATTTTAGTCAAGTTTGAAATTATCTTACGAAGAATTTAGAAACTTGAGCTTATATTTTTTTAAAAAAAAGTAGAGTAACTGTAATGACTTCAAATCTAGTAACAGAAACAAACCAAACCATTGTTGTGAAGATATTAGTAACCTTGCCCCTTCATATCATTTGCATAAAAATAGCCTTCCAGCTTGTTTGATTGCTCATCATCAAAGCAACTATGACCAAATAACATCGAACACGATAAGTTCAGGGGAAAAATAATTCTCCGATACTTTAATAGTGCTGGAAATTCTTTGAAGAGGTGCGACGTATTCCTCTTTCAATAAATTGGTTAATAGATTGGTTATAGTGTCTTTTGGCTTGGATCACATCACTAACTCATGGATCAACCACAGAGCAGCTATATTCTCATTATTTGGATTCGCCATCCACTGGATTCACTAGATCCTTGACAGTAAGCACAATTTAGTCCAGAATCTGCCTTTTCTCGTATTTTCCTATTTCCTCTTAAGTTCCTAATCATATTTGGCTTTCAAATTTCTTGTTATTGTAACATGTACTGAGCTGAGAAGATGTTCAGGGTTATTTGATAGGGTTATAAGTCATTCTAAGTTATCAATGATGTTGGATCCTGAATAACCGATATGAACTAGTTCATGAAATCCAAATAAAAGAAATTTCTTTAGCACAGATTACTGATGATCATTGTTTCAAGCTTCTTTTAACATTATTTCATTTAACCCTGGACAATTATTACTCTTTGTGACACTGAAATAAAACAGGTTGTTCTAGTTTCAATCCTCAAAACTCGAGACTTCCCTTTTCCAAACTTTACAAAGCCACCATCCGCCAAGAGTTCAGCCCTTCTTGGTTGAGGAGCTGTTTGGTTCCTTACTAGGGCAAGAAAAATTTGAGGCCTGTTTGTTTCCTTGCAGGAGCAAGAAAAGTCAGAAGAAATTAGGCATCCACAAAGTAAAACCGACTAACTGTCCCAAGATGTTATGTTATTAATGCCGACGAAACTCTAATAGAACTTAAAACTTTTAGCAGAGAGCATGATCTTCTGATGAACGATTATGGCTTTGCGGCAAGTTAAGGCTCACGGCCGTGGATTGCAGAGGGGTGTACAGTGTCAACATACGATTATGGCTTTGCGGCAAGTTAAGGCTCACGGCCGTGGATTGCAGAGGGGTGTACAGTGTCAACATAGCCTTAGTTCCTCAGGAGTCCAACAATTTGGTGAAGGGTTAATGTAATATTATGATTAAAAAACAGCATCTAATTCAGATAGATATATTCGAACAGCGGTTCTTTAGAGCAAAACACTTCCCTAAATTTGCGCAAGAATTTGTCCTAGTGTTGAGAACAAGTAGTACGTCAGTCTCTTTCCCCTTAGTGCATGTCCCTTGGTTGCTCAGAATTTTTTAACAGAAATTTAAGAAAGAACCCAAAAATAACTGAACTGTATCATATCTCTTCCTTTAATGGACAAATAGTTATATGAGAACTAGAGAGTTTCAGAACATCATGAAACACTTAATAAACTAATAATAAACCGCAATGGATCTTTATTAACAGACAACTAACGTTCTTTTTTTCCTTTTGGGTGGATGGGAGGTTAGTTAAACCCTGTCACAATATTCTAGTTAGAGCACAAAAAATGTTGACGGAGAGCGCAAAAAGAATTCAACAAAGGAACAGAGAATGCATTTGGATGGAAAACATGTATAATTCTCTACATCAGGGACCTCAGGTAAAGCATGAACCCGCAGGTAAATAAATGTTATTATTTACACTACTTCCTACACTTGCTATTCTCATAAATGCTATTCTCATAAATAACTGCAGGAAAATTTCTTAATAAAATAATAACTAAGGGAATGACAGAGATAATTTGTTTGTCCCATTTGCAGAACTTACCAATTCACTTGCTGGGGCCTCGACTTAGTATCTTAAGGAGATATAAGAAGCATAGTAAAAGCTGCATCAACAGATATCAAGTAAGAAATTATAATGGAAAAACAGGAAGGAAAATTTTTAACAATAAGGAAGGCTGTCTTTCTGTCAATATTTCATTTGATGGATCACTTATTCTACAAAATAAAGAAAATGAATACCAATCAGTTGCCAATTAAACTAAGGAAGCGATTGAGGGTGGCCTGCACTTTAGCCCCTTAAAAAGAGCTCTACCATACATAAGCAACATGTGGATGCCACAGTGTCTGATGAAGATCCAACCCCAAGCAGCTAGTGACAACTAGTGTAAGGGAAAGTTAATTAACAGACATGCTTACATATTCTTAGATTGGAATTAAACCATAAACGACAGCTTAACAATAAACAAGCATGTAGTGGGCATTTTTTCAAACTATTTATCAATGAACCATTCTAAAAAAAATATACTTTCAACTATAGGCCAGGCTCAGTTAGTTCTGGCCCAGCTCTACAAATAATTATTGTTGCTTGTTTCAGGTCTTGATAGGCCTCAGTTATGGAACCTAACAGAGCATTGATTAGCTGCAAATACTGCTTCCACAAGACACAGTTTTTACACCGATATAAATGAGCAAAGTCCTTTTCTGGATTATATGGATTTCTACAATAAAATAAGTAGAAAACGAGTAATAAAGCGATCTCTGGAATAACATTGAGGTTCACTAAAAATACACAATCAACAATCAAGCGCCCATCATGTTCATATCAATCAACCACCACATGTAAACTTACAAGCATTCTTAATTGCTCAGATGGAAATTTTAGTTGAGACAAGAAAATCCTCAGACCAGCGTAAAAGTGCTGCTGGAATTGAGCACAAAGTTAAACATTAAATCTGAGGTGTTCAATGTGTGAGAGTCCACATACTTCATTGCAAACTTAAAATCATCCAAGCCAAGACAGCGTGACAATATCTTTGTCCAATCAAAAGGTATTGTGACTGCAGTTTCACGTAATAATCCTCATTAATGAAGAGCAAGACCCACTAACCTACTCAATAGTGGGACGACCCGATGCAACAAACTTACCTACCACATGATCCTTTTCCCAAAGTAATAGCCTAAAATTTCAACTTCCCCAACAGTGGAGGTTAGTCTCACATAACTGCCTTGTATTAATTAAATAGGTCTGTCTCATAGGAAATCATAACATTCTAAAATCTAATATGCACTAGTTCATCATCTTGGATACACGATGATTCAGTAACTACCATAGAAAGCATCCAAGCGTGTGAAGCCATCGAGATTGATACCAAAATCCAAAAATTTGAGCTAAAAACAATTTGGGATGCATAGGATAGTGTCTCTTTATGGACGTCCTCTCTATAAAAATGTCTCCTTGAAGACATATACCTAAAGGAGGCAAACAGCTGCCCACCACAGACATGCTCTGCTGAAACAGAAAATACAACTTGCAGGGTTAACAAAGGTAAGTACTCTACATGCCTTTGAACTCAATGCAGTCAACCAAATATGTGATGAAAGGTGCACCGTGAAACACAATTATACAAAGTTATATCCAAGCAAACTGCATATAAAGTTACTAATTTAGACCCAAATCATAGAACCAATACCATTTCTAATTGTCTGGAGTCTGCACCATACGACTTCTTACCTTCACAAACACTAGAAAACAATTTGAGTTTTTAACAATCAGAAAAGACATGATAGGTTAGATCTGTCCTGGGTCTCACCTTGGTTTCCAATTATATTAATATACAAATATCATCTCTCTATTGAACTGGTTCTCATACACCATCTCAACAAAAGCTCCTGTTCAGCCAAGTGGCATGATCGCAGAAGCCTCCCTATCAGCTTCCCCTAAATCCTGTCATGCATCACGATATAAACAAGTACAATACTCGTATATTGAAACTCCTCAACCCTCCATTTACACTAATTCTTTCCATTGAAGTTGAACACGCTCACCATAAGAGCCATGATAGCTTCAGACACAATGAGTAATCCACCTTTCTTTGAACACTAAAGGGCAATATTTCGCTACTCTGTAAAATCACAGAAGTGCTCATGCTACCAAGTTACTGAAAACATAGAAGAATGTGAGCTGCCATTAATAGACCTTGGAGGCCTGAGGAGTGATGATGAAAAGGAGAAGCAGGCTTGTATGGAGTCCATCGGAAAGGCTTCTTGAGAATGGGGTTTCTTCCAGGTACAGAACCATGGCATCAGTTCTGAACTACCAGAAGAGATGAGAAAAGAACAGAGGAAATTGTTTGAGATGCCTTTCGAAAAGAGGTAACCTCTAGGATCTTGAATGACTCTTGTATATGGGGAACTCCAGGTGCCCAAAGTGCGCAACAGTTCTCACTTCTCATGATCAGAAGCCTTTCATGTCCCTCTTGCTAATATTTCAGAGGGTCGCTACTATGGAGAGTGAAGAAGTCTAAGGTACATTTCTACTACGTACATTAAAAAAGAAGTCTTCTCCTATATGCCCTCTATGATGTTTTCAAACTTACTGGAAATTTTCATTTTACAAACTCAGTTTAGACAGGTAGTTAAGAATATCAAAGCTAATGACCACTGACATTGGTAGGGAGGTGATGAAGAAACCTGCATGCTCACTTTCAGAGCTTGCTCGCACCATTGCCAGCATTCTAGCTGAAATTTTGGGATACAACGGGCAGTGTTTCCCTGGAAAATTGCACCAGGGAAACATGCTTCCTTTGGCTAAATCGACATCCTCCATGCCTCTTCACCAAAGACCTTTGGATTGATGTCCTCACACTGGTAGTGACTTCCTCACCATCCTGTATCAGGATAAGGTTGGTGGACTACAGTTAATAAAGGATTCCAGATGGGTTGCTGTAAAACCGAATCCAGATGCTCTTATCATCAACATGGGAGACCTCTTCCAGGTGATTACAGAAATAATTATGAAGTCTACCTTTTATAGTCCTACGTATTAAGATATACATAAGCTCTATGGTATTCCCATTCGCCAAAATACAACTCGCCAAACAACAATCAGGTGTATTTCCGCAAGCAAGGCCCCAACCAGCTCGGTGGCCCAAGCCCAGCGGAGGTCCCAACTTGGCCGACTCGTCAAGTCAATACTCTTCATGACGACTCAAGAGTCGGGATCGGTCGACTCTGTTGTCGAAGTCCAACTCGCCTGGAGCCCACTCGACCTTTTATTCAATGCCCTGCGAGGACGACTCGATGGGCGCTACTTCTCGGCGAAATTAGAGGATAATATCTGCCTCGGGCTTCTCCCTCTGACCACGCGTCAGCACCATGGTCAACACCGGACAAGTCCCATCATGACCCTAGCCCCGATAGTCTTCATGACTCGTCATATCACATGGGCTCTACCACGCCGCCGATCACTCCCCATTCGATGCTGAGACGATCTCTCTAATGCTGAAGTGATCTTTCCCCCAAGGCCCCAACCACCTACCGACACCCGTAAAGTGGATGCTAACGCAACCACGAGCCCATACTCCCTCTCTCTTCTCATTTAATACTAAGGAGATCCTCCCTCCAGTCGCCAGCCGACACCTGTAAAGTGGGTGCTGACGCAGCCACCAGCCCATACCTTACCATCACTTCTTCGTACTCAGTCAAAGTGCCCAATCTACCACTCTCCCACAATATATATACATGTACTATTCGCCTTTTAGGAGGAGGGGCTATTCCAAAAAGGAGAACTCTTAAGTTTTGCTTCTTCTTTCACTCAACTTTATCGTCAAACTTGATCGTCGGAGGTACAACGAGGGAACCTATCCACGTCCTCTCACGAGTTTTTACATGTGCAGATTTCTCAGCTCCCCAATTCAAGAACCATACATAAAGTAGGAGGCAGCCTCCTCATCAATCTCCTTTATCTCATCGAAATTATCCTGCTCTGGATACAAATTGACTGTGTGATCACTAGTACATCAACAGTTTGGCGTCCACCGTGGGACTTCCTCTCTTTTTTGAGAAGATATGTCAGGTTCTGAACAAGGGCCTGATCAGTCTCATCCTGTAGCTCGACCCTGAAGTTGTGTCACTCAAGCTAAGCAGAAAATGGTTTTGGTTGAGAGGAATCGACATAATCGCGTCCCTTTACAACTTTAGCAACCATTTTGGGAGTATTTATCAGCTAGCCATCTATAAGATGGACGAGCTCCCATTACCCTCAAAAGCCTCTCGAAAGATGAACATCATGTCGTCTTTTTAGAGAGTTCTTCTTTGGTTGTCTTTCTAGAGAGAACAACTCCAGCTTCTTGAATATCTTTTTCAGAAAGGATTCCATCACCAAAGTGGTCTAGTATCTTTTGACCGTACAACACGACCCACAAGAACTCAACTGGGGAGACTCCATTCAAGCTAGCATATGGCGTCATGACAGTCACTCCCGTCGAAGTAGGCATGCCGACCATTCGACTACAACACTTCGACGAGGACATGAACTCAAAAGGACTTCGGATCGGCCTTGACCTCCTGAACAAGATCCAAGAGATATCGCTCCGAACTCAAGTCACCAATCAGCAACGAATCGCCCACTACTACAACAGCAAAATCCGACCAAGGAGATTCAATGCTAGCGACCTCGTCCTCCGCAAAACTACTTTACACAAAGACACTCAACGAGGCAAGCTAACTCCTAACTGGGAAGGTCCTTACATAGTCCTAGAAGAGCTGCGAGCTGGAACCTATCGACTAAGGGCCCCAAACGGAAGCGTTTTGCAACATCCCTGGAATATCGAGCATTTGAGGCGATATTTTCAATAACTGTAAATTTTGTTTAGCCTTAATAAAATCGTTATTGAAACTGACTTGACTCTTGTCTCGCACTCTCGTAGTGCTCAATCTCTGCAAGGATCCTAAACCCTTGGTGCTTCTTCACAAGGTAAACCTAAGGCACTTCCACCATATGGTCGACTCTTACAGTCGCCTCTCGACCATTATGGGGATAATGATGACCCAGGCGTCTACATAAGACCTGGGCACCCAATCTCAGAATTGTCATTCCACCATT